CTACACGAGTGCAACATTTTTCATCTTTTATGCTATACCTTCCTTATGTTTAATTATGTTTGTATACACAAATCAACTACCATTTTGTGACAACTGCCTACAGTATTCGGTTCAGGTTTGTAGTTTTGGAGCAATAGGCTATGCCATATAGCTCAGGTGTGGAATGGGCTATATACCATGTAGGTTTGAGTAAGTACACTCTATAATGTTTGCATATTGATGAAATCACCTAAATATACACTGTCCAGAAGGTGACCCTGTTGTTATGTGATGTATGACCACATACTGGACTCATTATAGCCTAACCAGCAACTGGATTTTAACCATTTAATTTTATATAATTGTAATAAATGACTGCAATGAGGAATTAAGATACTGTCATTTGACTGCTAATGAGTACCACTCATGCCCTAGCATCTCTGTATGTTGGAGACAATGATTAATTTCTGTTCCTTTTTCTTCTAGAATAAGCAACAATTTTAATGAGTGCTGCCTTTCTCTACTTTGGAACTTCATTTCTCAACTACTACACAAGCAAATCTTCCCAACAATATGTTCTTTAAGCAAGATAATGTGCCTTTTGCATATTTCCTAAAAATTCTATTTTATTGTGGTAAGAGTATGAGATCTACCCTCTTACTACTTTCTAAGTGTACAAAATGGAATTGTTAACTATAGGCACATTTTTGGGCGGATCTCTAAAACTTATTAATTTTGTTTAACTGAAATAAGCAAGAGGAGTAGTAACTACCATTTCTCCCTACATACAGACCCTAGCAACCACCATTCCACTCTTTGATTCTATGAATTTGATTACTTTACATATTAATTGTACAACGTTCCTGAAGGATTTCACAAGAGAATAGATAAATACAAAATAACCACTACAGAGAAAGAAAAAGGTTGTGTTTTAAGTTCACAGAGCTTACAAAATGAAGATATTATCTAGAAACAGTAAGTTTCAAATATCTAACATACAAGGGGACATGCAAAAGTCTGTGGAGAAATGTAATCAAATTATGAGTTAGCTATAGTGCAAAATTTTTGAAATCCATGCATAGTTTTAGTATCATACACATTTCTATTAACTTTTTGAAGAGTTCTCATATATTTAAATGAATTTAAGCATTAACAAAACCAACAAGAATTTAAGTTTTAATTTAAAAATTATTAATTATACCTTATCTTCAGATGGACAAAGATATAAATATTGGAATGTGGCAGTTATGTTTTTAGAGAATCTTGGCCCAAAAACATCTTTATCAGTTCCAAACTGATGACGAGACTGTCGCACAATTGAGTCAATTACATACAAGCCTGGAACCTTGTACTCTGGTTTACACTGCAAGGATAAAAGTGTACAGTCAGTACATAAAAAGTAAAATCACAATTCAACACCCATTAATCTCACATTTATGAAGCTTTGTATATTCATCGAGAATGTGTTTCAGCTTTCTCACAAACTTGTCAAATTTCCCACTGTTTTTAAAGAACTACCTACCATTCTTTCAAAATATCACACCCCAGTATTTGACTCTTTTCTGATCCCTTTACCTCCCCACAAACAATTTCCTGGTATTGACATTACTTTACAAAGTCCCAAGCCACTTCCATACAAATTCATTTATTATGATATTCTTTCTTCTAATTCATCTTGTTCAAAAGGATCATTTTTATCTTTTAAAATTATAAAATATTTTAAAGACATGCTAAACATTAAAAGAGATCATTTTTGGCTAATCAAATTTAACAATGATAAAAAGAGTATAAGGGAAACAGGACCTGCATATATTTCTGGTGGCAGTCTTTATCGATGATTAAGAAAGAAATGCAAAAGCCTTATTTGATCCAGCAATTCTACATCTAGGAATTCATGCTAAAAAAGTAATTTAGATGTATCTATTTCTTTCATTATTCATAATGAGTAAGCAAGTCAAAAATATCTAACTACAGGGAACTGGCTGAGTAAATCATGGTAACAATCACTCAAAGTAATAATTTTGTAGATATCTATAATAAACTCAGTGGGAAAAGCAGGTTAAACAACTAATATTGTCTTAATTTTTCCTTTTATAAAAAAGCACATACATCAATTAAAAAAAATAGGTAGATACAAATGCACTTCGGTTTGCTAATATAAAGCACCTGCTGACCACTTTTGAAGCTTAACTTTTATCCCCAAGCCAGTACGTAAAAGCCGTGAACATTTCCACGATTAATATATACTATATGAAGTTTAATTTTGATAGAAACAGGAAAACTGAGAAAACAAAGGCATTTCATTTTAAAATACCTGGGACAGATGTGTGCAAATTGTACTTATAAAACAAGACACAACTATAGAACTGAACAACAGTTTCATCCTGATAGGAGCAGAGAAAAGTTGGAAAAACATGAGGAGACATTTTAAAATATTCAAAATCAAGTTAATATCATGAGACTAGATGGGGCAAAACGTAGAGCAGGTACATGTTTAGAAAAGGGTCCTACCCAAATCAAAAACTCATCTGTAAACATGACATACAGAGTGCTGAGCTCACAGTAAGTGCAGTCAAAGGTACTGCTACAAACCTGTTTTTAAACTTCTAGAGACTACTTTTTCATAGATCAGTTTTAGAAGCAAACATTCAAATTACAATTTTCAAAATAAACTACGAACACACATACTAAAATAATTATGAGATAGTTACCTTTTTGATGAACTTTTCTACTATTTGAACTACATGCTTGTAAAGCTGAAAAGAATTAAAAAAAAATTACGGTCCAGTTTGCATATGTCCATATTTTCTACAATAAAAATACTTAAAACCCTGAAATTTGCACAATTTAAATTATGAAGACTAGACTAACTGAAGTATGAAAAATAATCCATAATCAACAAATAAAGAAATTGAACATAGCAAATCAGAAGAGAATGAATTAAAACAGAAAACAACAAAAATCCACAAAAACAGAAGGTCCTTTCCTTAAATTTTTAATCAATAAATCTTTACAAAGCAGAAGACTAGGCAACCTTATGAAAGGGCTAAGAACAATGAAATTAGAACTAAATAATGCAGTTTCTAAAATGAGGCTTTCTAAAGTGTGCTCTTAGGTAAAATACTTAATTTAATGGCAGCTGAATAATTTTCTTTTTTAATGAAGTTAATATTCAGCTGGTTCACTGCAAAGATTAAATGAAGTAAAGAGGGGGAAAAACCTGCTTGGAAATGTTACAATGCAAATGCAGACATTATGGAGGACCTTTAGCAAGAACCAGTTAGTGCTCTGATTCAGGCCTAAACTAATCTACAAGAGGAACTCACGTTTAATAATATTTTCAAAGTATCAAAAACATTGATCAAATTAAATGTATCTGTTTTATTCTTACCTTAATAGCTTTAATAGCAGCTTTAGTGATGAGAATCATCTTGGCTCTAGAGATGGGAGGCTTCATATCCATAAGTGAAAAGAGCTTAAAAAAATATAATAAAAAGGTAAACATGGAGGTCAATTCCCCTTCTACAAAGATATTTGTAATCTATATTGTAAGAGAATAACAAACTTTTGGAACTAAACGTTTAACAATTTGACCAGTTAAGTAAAAACCAAGAACTTCCTATATATCAAGAACATCACTCTTTAGAAATACAATGAGAAAATAAAAAACATTAAAAATAGAAAAAAAAAAAAAAAAAAGGGGGGGGGGAGACTGGCATACTCCTGGACACTGCTGATTGGTAGGTTAAGGCAATAAGGGAGGTCCAGGTTCAATGACCACTTCCACTACCTAAGAAGCGAGTCAAGAAGATCCCTATGGTGAGATCCTCTCTGAAAAACCACACTTATACCACACTAAAAAAAAAAAAATCAAAGAAAACAAAATATAAACCTAGAAGCAAAAAACATTAAGAAGTTTGCAAACCTTTTACCAAAACATTTTTAAAATTTTATCAATGAATTCAAAATTTCAATGGAAACAAAACACAGCATGCTCCTGAAATGAATGTGATAACATTGTAATTTTGTCAATATTTAATGTGATTTTAATCTAAATCTCACTGAGATTTAGGAGAACTTAAAATAACTTTCAGATTTGTTTGGAGAAATACATATATGAAACTAGGCAAGAAATTCAAATAGTCACTATAAATCTCCAATAATTTCTGACATCAACATAGGAATTCACTACTATGTTATTTACTGAAAAACAGTCCGTTACTAAAAGATTAACACCAAATTTAACAAATTTCAATAAATCCACAGCAAGCAGGTGATCCAGGGAGGCTTAACCACCCCCCCACCCCACACACTTACATGCCTTTCCCAAAGGTTTAAATCCAACCCAAATATAATGGAGAGTCCATAGGATGTTACAAAGATAAAATCCCGACATTGAGAAGCTTCTATCTAGCTTCTTAAATTTTTGTTTTTGTTAATAAGCATAGGAACACATTCACTTCAGACCTCTAGAAAAATTCTTTTAAGTTTCAGGGATTCTTGAGCATTCTCAACTTTATATGAATCATGTTTTCTTCCATTTCTTTTCCATTCATGTCAGTATTTCAACTATGGACCCCTAGGGTACAGACCTTCACTAGACTGCTACTATAAGACTTCAAAAACAAAAGTCTTTTCCCAGAGTTGGCAGCGTTCCCTAAAACTTGACAAGAGTATTTTCACAGCATTTCAAAACTATACACAACATGGTGGCAGGTGGAATGATGGTTAAGGGCACTGGACTCCCCACATGGCCAACCATGGTTCTAGTCGTGGACCTGGCGGCTTGCTCTCTTTCTCTCTGTTTCTCTCTGGTTAAATTAAAATAAATAAATAAAAATTAAAAAGTTAGATAAATTTTTAAAAATAATAATAATAAAAAAAGCTATACACAGGACTATGTATCAGTTAGCGTAATGGCTGTCGCTGAACTCCCATGTAGTTGACCACAGTTCAAGTCCCGGACCAGATGCCTTAAACTCATGCAGGGCACATGTGCATGCGTGCCCGAGATCCTCAGAGGAGAATGGAGAAGGGATGGCGGTGTGGCCATCACCCCAGAGGGTGATTTCTCGCTTTGTCTCTCCGTCTCTGTCTTTCTGGCAAGCACACGTGCCCTATAGCAAAAACCTCTCCAAAAAAAAAAATAAAATAAAATAAATTAGAAAAGGCATGCTATGTCACATATAATCAATATAAAGACCAGGTAATCTACTTAAATAGAAAAAGACAGAATTTTTCTATAAATAATATTAAGGTACAGAAAATGGGAGAAACACTAAGATGTCACCTGAGAAATTCCTTTTTTTTAAGAGAGACTTTTGCTATAGGGTACTGCACCTACGTGCCAGAGAGACAAAGAGACAGAAAGCAAGAATCACTCCCTTCCCCTGGGGGTGGCCATGCCGTAATCCCTTCTCCTCCATCCTCCTCTCAGTATTTTGGGCATGCGCACACAGATGCACAGTCTGAGTTTTAAGCTGCCGGGTCTAGGACTCGAACTGCCATTCAACTTCATAGGAGTTCAGTGATGTAATCCTATGCTATCTGCTGGTCCAAAGGAATTCATTTTTTAAAAAGGAGTCTTAAAAAAATGAGGTCATGATTATTCATTTTATTACTTGAGTATTTATTTGAAATGCTTGGGACCAGAAGTATTTTGGATTTTGGAATATTGGCACAAACATTATGAGATACCTTGGGAATGGGACCCAAGTTAAATATGAAAATGATCTGTTATGTATACATCTTATTTACATAGGCCGAGGGTAATTTTATACATTTTTGTATTTATTTTGACTGTGAACTATCCCATGTGGTCACATGTGAAATTTTCCAATCATGAAATTATGTCAGTGCTCAGAAAGTTTTGGTTCTTACCAAATTTTGAATTTTCAGATTAGGAATTTTTTTTTTTTTTTTTTTGAGATTTTTCGCTATAGAGCACGTGCGCTCGCCAGACAGACAGAGAGAGACATAGAGACAGAAAGCGAGAAATCACCAACCAGGGGGGATGGTCATGCCACAATACCTTCTCCTCCATTCTCCTCTCGGGATCTTGGGCACGCACGCACGCACACGCGCCCGGCGTGAGTTTTAAGCCACTGGGTCCAGGACGCGAACCGCGGTCGACTACGTGAGAGTCCAGCGACATAGCCATTACGCTTACTGCTGGTTCTCGAGATTAGGAATGTTTAACCTGCATTTTATTTACAAATGTAATTTTAAAATTCTACTTGAAAATTAATGTTCACTAACTGAAAAGCTGGAAAAGAAACTGTAATCGCTAAAATTATATAAACCAATAGAAACCACAAAAAAAATTTTAATACTTCAACTTAAATCTTCATTGCATGATTCATGAACACTAAAGTACATATGAACTATTTATGTAAATTTCTAAAGGACAGCTTAATTATCTTATAATTTAACAATTATTTATTACTGTTGTTCTATTTCCTTTTCTATACCTTAAAAAAGAGAAATGGGATGCAAAGAAGTTAATGCAAGGATCTTAAGAATGAACAATAAGAGCTACTTCTTTGAGTACAAGTCTATGATATGTTTTAATGAAGCCTAAGCCAGAACTAATGTTCATTTCATGCCCTAAATAGCATTTCTTTATCATTTCATCAGTAAGCAAATCACTGTAGTATGAAAAAAAAAAAGAAAAGAAAGAAGGAAAGAAAAGAAAAGAAAAGAAAAGAAAAGAAAAGAAAAAGCCAAATGAGCATAGGAGACAGACTACTACTGTAGCCTGAGGAAACACTCCTCAGTCTATATTTAAATTATCCTAGTTTACTTAAAACATTTAAGTACAGATTATAACAAACAGCACTATAACCATCATTCTATCAAAGAACCAATGAGAGTTTCTTCAGGTGTGTGATCTGAGAGACAGTGGAGTTTTTTTGTTTGTTTTACTTTTTCAGTTTTGATATAGAGTTTTTGTGCTTACCAGAGACAGAGACAGAGGCAGAAAGTGGAAAATCACCCCCTAACAGGGATGGCCATATTGAAATCCCTTCTCATTCTTCACATGGCATTTCGGACATGCATGCACATGCATTCAGTTTGATTTTCAAGCTACTGGTACCAAGACTCTTGACTCTACAGTCAGTGGTCCTGTGGGATCCAGTCATCTTAACCTCCATGCCAACTGCTGACCCGAAAGGGTGCTATTATATTCCATAAAAAATAAAGTTCAGAAGGGGAGAGAAAACCAACATTTGAAGCCTACTATTTATGTATCAGGAAGGAATGGGCTATGTGGTATGTTACAGGTTAGGTGGTAGGTTATTTTATTTAATCACATTAATTAAGGTAGGTATGTTATACCTTTTGGAAGATGACAGTCAAAAAGGATTACTTCTGTTTTAGGTGATGCCTGAGAAATGAACACAAACTAAAGTCTATTTATTATAAAAAACTAACACTCCCCAAATGCATATACATATCCTTTTACAGTAGTCCCCCCTCTCTATCCATGAACTCATGTTCTATGGTTTTACTTACCCACAGTACAGTAGAGTAAGATATTCAGAGAAAGACAGAGATCACATTCATGTAACTTTTTAAAAAAGAATTGTTTATTTAATTTTATTTATCACTACTATTTTTTTAACCAGAGAGAGACAGAGAGAAGGAAAGTGAGAAAACAAGCCACCAGGTCTGGAACTCGAACCATGGCTGGCACTGTGGGAGTCCAGCACCTTAACCACCATGCCATCTGCCTGCCCCATATTCATGTAACTTTAATTACAGTATATTCCTATAATTGTTATTTATTAATACCTTACAGTGCCTACTTTATAAATTAACTTTATCATAGGTATGTATGGATGTATTTTAAAAAACACTTTATCTAGTGTTCAATATTATCCAAGTTTCAGGCACACACTGGAGGTTTGAAACACAATCTCTACAGATAAGGGGTACATCTGTATAATGCTGCCTACTGACTAAAATTGTAAACAGACCATTAACTAGAGTAAGGAATATGGGGCACAGGGAGTCAAACAGGCATTTACATCTGCACATTTATTGTACTGGTTCCGAGATAACACTGAAACATTTCATTTAATTTGAGATGATTACCAAATATCCAAGTAGAGACAGAAATATGAATTTTGAACAAGGGTGAGAGCGTCAGGCTAGAAACCAAAAAGTTACAGAATCAAAGCCAAGAGGATGGGTAAGAATGAACTTGTAGTAAGGAAGCCAGGAACATAAACCTGGCTAGGGAATAATAAAAATTTCAACACAGCAAAGGGGCTGTGCAAATGAACATGAGAACAAAGTGGAATCCCAGAAATGAAAGTTATTTGGTATAGCCAAATGCTCCCAGAGGTTAATCCAGACACAAACCAATTCTTGTTCACTCAGCCTGCCAATCAATGACAGCAAATGACATCTCCTGAGGAAGTAGAAATGCATTTTTGGCTAATTTTTCATTCACTCAACAAATACCTGAGA